ATCCATGTATTAACTTATGTGCATTATTATATACTCAGCCGTATTATATGTACCCAAAATATTTACAGAAATGTTTATAGAAGCTTTGCTCAGAATCACTGAGAACTGGAAGCAATCCATGTGTACTTCAACTGGTAAATAGATACATTTTAGAATATCTATTCATACAATGGAATACTATTCAGCAATACAAAAGAATAAGCTACTGATACATGAAACCACTTGTGTGAATCACTAATTCATTTTGCAAAGTAAGAGAAGCTAGACTTAATCTACTACATATTATTACTCTTTAATAACATTCTTAAGTGGTACAGTATATATATATGATTAAGAAATAGATCAGTGGTTGTAGATGGCTAGGCATAAAGAAGGACCCTCAGTGAGATGGATTGACAGTGACTCAGCAGTGGGCTTAAGCACAACATGATTATAAGGATAGCACAGGACTGGAAAGAGTTAGATTTCTTTTGTGTTTAGGGTGATGATTTTATAATAATATTAGCCTAAACATCAATTGTATGTGTGATGTCCAATGTTTGTTGTTGAAAATGGCGGTGGGAGGGGTGTGGGGGCATTGCCTACCAAAGAAGGAATTTTTCTTTTGCTTTTCAAAGAGAGGAACAAATCAGAGGGGCAGGGTGGGGGGGGGGCCTGGGCAGGGAGAAAAGTGCAACAATGAATGAATGGAAATCCAAAATCTAAATGTTCATTAAAATTAATAAAATAAAACTTAAAGAAAAAGAAAGAAAATGGCTTTCCTACCATTGACTTGGACTTTGCCTTATGGATGAGTGAGAATATGTGAATAGGGTGTGTGAGCTAGTGGCTAGTCTTGCCATTAAATTGAACATATTCAGCAGCAGATTGGGCTGTGTCAACACCAGCAAAGAAGTCTAGAATGCAGAGCACACTTCCTTCGAGGCCAAAGATTCCTGTACTCGACCAGGGCCTTCAGGAGCAGCCGCAGCAGAGAACTAGAGACTTGGCATGGGACAGAGCTGGCTTGGGACTGCTACCCACAGAACCAGAGCTAAGAGGGTTTTTTTGCCAAGCTTGTTGAAGGAATAGGGGAACAGCCATAATTAACAGGACTAAGAGCTATGAAACACTGGACTACCATGAGGTATGAGGCTTGTGAGGTGCCTGTGAGCACATTTTGGAAGCTGACCTGACTGCTTATACCCTATTGCCAACCTGAAACATATCCTTTGGCTTCCCTAATAATTCTCATAATCATTAATATGGTTCCATGTGCTCTGTGAACTACTGCAGTGGAGTTTGGACACAATAGAGCAGCAGTATTGCTGTTGGAATTAGCAGAAAGAAGTGCAGGAACATGGGGGCCATATCTAACCTCATGGGCATTGGTTTTTGTGCTGTGGATGATTGGTGGGGGGAGGATAGTTTCCTCTTGTGGCATTAGTAGAAATCAGAGATGGCTATGCCCATGTGAACCTTGTTCCTTTTATAGTATACCAGTTGTTGTCAACTTGATGACACCTAACAATAGTAACAAGAAGTTTTCATCCACTGGTAGTTTTTTCTTGAATGAGATACTGAATAGTTGTCAAATGGCAATTTTCTGATTCTGTTTTACATTTTATATATAATATTGGGGCTTTGGTGTCTTAGTTTGAATTCACTAGTTAGACTAAGAGAAGTAGCTGGGCAGTCTCCTCCTATAAGAGTTACAGCCCTGAAAACCCACTGTAGGGTCAACTATGAGTCTTCTAGCTCAACAGCAATGTATTTGACTTTTTCTTTTAATACTTATTAGTAGGGAAAAAGGAGTCCTAGTGGCAAGAATCTGCACTGGTATCTCGAAGGCATGCAGTTCAAATCCACCAGCTGCTCCACAGGAGAAAGATGGGCAATCTCCTGTGTGATTAACTGCCTCTGAAAATTCACTAGAGGTCAGCAGTGGTTTCTGACTTGACACTACACAACAACAACAGCAACAATAGGGAAATGCTATTCCCTCTCATAGTTATTTAGTTGTATCATTTATAGATTTTTAGAGTTAATTCATTATTCAATAATTTCTACTTTCTGAGTATAGATTTATATAGTTTATTCATTATTCAATAATTTCCACATTCTGTTGGATCATGTATTTTGAGAAAGAGGCAAATACGGGTCTCTTCCAGTCAGTTGGCCAGGTAACTGTCATCCAAATTTCCCAGCACAGTCTAATCAGCACATCTAAGGCTGCATCTGTTTGTTTAAACAGTTTATATTCTATCAGTTCCAGGGCCTTATGTTTTTTTGCTAATACCTTCAGTGTCTCTTGGATGTCTTCCTTCATCACCATTGGTTCTTGATTAATTAGTTCCATGTCCACCAATTCAGTTTTGGCACAGTGACTCAAATTCAGACTGGGTTTTAAAAAGGCAGTAGCACAAAGGATATCATTGCTGGTCATATGGATCTTGACTAAAAGCAGAGAATACCAGAAGGGTATCTATTTGTGTTTTATTGGCTATGCAAAGGCATTTGACTGTATGGATCATAACAAATTATGGATAACATTGAAAAGGATGGGAATCCCAGAATACGTAATTGTGCTAATGCGAAGCCTGTGCCTAGACCAAGAAGCTGTTGTCCAAATAGAGCAAGGGAACACTATATAGTTTAAAATTAAGTAAGTGTATTGAGACTGTATCCATTGTCTATACCATTAAATCTGTTTACTGACTAAATAATTGGAGAAGCTGCACTCTATGAAGAGAAATGTGGCATCAGGATTGGAGGTGGACCGATCAACATCATAACAGATGAGGAGAACTTAAATCACTTGCTGCAGAAGATCAAAGACAACAGCCTTCAATATGGTTGCATCTCAACATCAAGAAGACAAAAGTCCTTGCCACAGGGACAGTAAGCGACATCATTATAGAGAGGAGATAGAAATTGAAAAATACTTCATCTTACTTGGATCCACAGTCAACCTTGGTACCATCAGTCAGGGGATCAAGAAGTATATTGAACTGGGGAAATCTGCTATCAGGGACCTCTCCAAAGTGTTGAAGAGCAAAAAATGTCATTTTAGAGACTTAGGAGCACCTGATCTAAGCTGTGGTCTGTCTTTTAACTCACTTGCTATGTGTCTGAATGTTAGACAGTGAGTAAAGATGACAGAAAAAGCATTATTGATGCCTTAAAGTTGTGCTATTGGAGAAGAGTACTGAATGCCCCATGTACTGCCGAAAGAACAGGTATGTCTTGGAGAAGTCACCACCGGTGTGCTCTTTAGAAGCAAGGATAGTGAAACTTCATCTCCCATTCTTTGAGCATGTTGGTCAAGGAGGAACCAGTCCTCAGAAAAGGACATCATTTTAAATAATTTTTACTAATTCCTTTTTTCTGCAATTATTTTATTCTTCATATAGACAGTTTCTGTGCTGTGATTAATTTTTTGTTTTCTCTTGAAAAAATATTTACATGACAGGAGAGATTATGGGAAACATTTTAAATCTGGGGCTGTTGGTTAGATGTAATGGCATCAGAAATCACTACAGTTGGGCTCTGTTGAATTGAGTTTTGTGAAAGGAGAGCATAAATATTTCACAGATAGGTGCTGTCCAGAAAAAAATTACTTAATTTTCAACAATATGTTGCCATTTTCTTATCATGTTTGGGAAGAATTTATAATTCAGTAGTTTATTTTTTTTTAAATTATGTTCTTTTTCTCGTTGATGGCTTATGACATCCAAGCACCTGAATGAACACCAGCAGACTCATTCATACACATTAATATTTTAAAATTTTATTTGCACATGTGCATTGATTCACTTTGTTTTAAAATGTGTGTTCCTAGAAATCTGCAAAATTAAAGTACATATTTAATGAAAAAAAGGAGGAGGGAGGGAGGAAGGAAGGGAGAAAGGGAAGGAGATCATGCTTGGAAGGTGGAGGATCAGTGGAGGGGAAGACACTCAGCAAGATGAACTGACACGTGACTGTCTGTGGGCTCAACTCTAGGAGAGATGATGAGGACGGGTCAGTATAAATCAGGGTTCAGATCTGTTGTTCATAAGGTCAGTATGAGTCATAGTTGACACCTAACAACATTGTGTTCATTGGGTCACATTCATTAGTATTTCTTTGCTGCTCAAATTGTTTGAAATCTATGCCCCATTCACACTGATTTGTGTCATCATCATTCTTTTAGTATTTAAAATGCATTATGTCACCGTTCACTGGACTTCACTAAATTTGGTCTCATTTCAGCTATTTCATGTCTTAATACCATTTTTATTGTATTGTGATTTGAGTGAAAATTGATAAAGAAAATTGGACTTTCTTACACAGTTTCATAACAATATTTTTCCTTTTATCTAATTTCTAGTTTTTATTCATTTTCTGTATTCAATTATATATCTAATAGTATACTGTTTTTATTATATTTTTTGTTTCTATCATACATTTACTAGCTTTTGTGTGAATCCTACTGCATTTTTTTTCAGAATTAATCCTTACTATTCTTCCTTTTTCATTTTTTTACAAGGACCTTTAGAATTTACTCATCACTTTTCCTCCTCCTTTACACAATTACCTTTCCTAAAGGTTCTGAAGGTCTTTTTGCAAGATCACTTTTAAAATTTATAGGTTGTCATTTTTTAGAATGTTAAGACTTCTAAGATTATTGTGTACCATTCCATTTGTTTTGGTTGTTTATGTGCCCTCTGGGAGCTTTAAAACAGTCTTCACACACATCTTGTATATTCCTTACTAAATTTATTCATCATTATTTTCTCTTTGTTACTATTGTGAATGAAATTTTTTTACATTATAATTTAGGCTCTCAGTTCTAGAGTTTAACTTCAGGTGAAAAATATATCAATCTACTAATGTTACAATTACTTTAGCACCTTTTGTTTCTTTTTGAAAATAAAAGGAGATTTGCAGAGTAATACCAATGTTTTTATTAAACCTATTTCTGAGTGACCTATTTTTAATTGTATCCCCACTCCCTCTACCCCTCTCCTTTTTTAAAGGCAAGCCTGAAATAGCTTGTGAAAACCCACACTGTTCTGCAATACCTTTGCTACAACCTACTCTACACATTGCAGACAAAGACCCAATTCCTGAAGAGCAGGTAAGAGTGAAATTATTTTTTTACCTAAAGAAGGATTTTGTACAGAAAACTTACCTACTTCTGAGTAACCTGGATAATATTTTCATAAACAGACTTGTCAAATTTATTTTCCCAACAGGCTCACAAATTACAGCATAGTAAGTCTATAAATCAAACCATTAATTTTTAGTGCCTTGAATTTGAATCCGCTGAATCTAGCAGTATAACGTCTTGTAATTTGTATCAAATTATCCATTTTTCAAAGGCCCTTAAAAGTATATAAAAGTCAAAAATAAAAATCAGTACATTACAAAGGTTCTTTTTGGAATACTGTTAAATGTCACATCTTGATCTGAGTAGTGGTTACCAGAATGTATATGTATATAAAAATCTTGTACACTCAAGTTTTCTGTACTTTACTGTACTGTTATACCTAAATTCAAACATTATGATGATTTCATTGGATGTTGACAAAGATTTCTTTTACCCATACTGAGTAAAAATGTTAAGTCATATTGTCTCGTTAAGGCTCTTAATTGTAAATATAACCCAACCCTAGTTAGTATAACTGACAGATTTATGAAACTGTTAGGAAGTTTACAGAATACTCCAAAGGGCCCAAACCTAGGCTTGAATCAAATTGGGGTAAGCTGAAAAAATCAATACTCAAAACTATTGGTTAAGTGGAAGCATTAATTCCTAATTACTGAGCACATTTGTTACTGTTGCTCCATCAGTGATGAATAGTGAAAATCAGCTTTAGTGTACCTCTGGAACTTTTATTCACCTCTACTTTTACCAATATGAATCCTTCAAAGTACCTGTTTCTTTAATCACAATATTCTAAACCAGGTATAATGCTGGTGTTGTTGTTGTGTGTTATCAAGTGAGGACCAACGCATAGCCGACCCTCCAGAAGGTTTTCAGAGGCACTTAATCTAATGGAGGAGAGAGCCTGTCCTTCTCTCGCAAAGCAGCTGGTGTATTTGAACCACCTGCCTTTGGGATTACAGCATATTTTCCTACAACTAGGCCACCAGAGCTCCCGATCATGCAAGTAGGGAATCCTAACTCATTTACCTGAACCTTACCTGCAAAGGAAGTTGGTAAGTAAATATCCTGCCCTCTGCCCTTGAGATGTGGAGAAACATAAGATCAGGTATGCCTCAAAGCTACTAATATTAGTCATGCTTTCCAGAAAACCAGTAAGCGATGTAAATATTACAAGAAGGTTCACAATCCTGACTATATCATCAAACCACTAGCCCTTCTAATATTGATTGGTTTTGACATAGTTAATAACTTTAAACTTGACTAGGTCTTTAGTCAAGCGTCATCTTGGCTTTTTTGGCAAAGCTCCACCTCACATAATTTGGGTGTGTTGCTAGGAAGAAGCTGTTCTTTGGAGAAGGACATTATACTTAGAAAGATGAGGGAACAGCCGAGAAGAGGAAGGACCTCAACCAAGTGGATTAACAAACACAGTGACTGCGGCAATGGGTTCAACCGTGTCAGAGACTGTGAGGAGGGCACAGGCTAGGACAGGGTTCTGATCTGTTGTTATAGGGTCACTATGAGTCGTACTTGACACAGTGGCACCTAAGAACAACAAAAACATGTCTTTAGTATGGTGTCAAAGTGGGAAATTAACAATTGAACTTGTTAAACTTTCCTATCCATAACCCTTGTTAAGCATCTACTGTTTTTTTTTTGTTTGTTTTTTTTCTTCTTTTTTTCTATATTTTATTA